ATTGGGCCCCCCGGGAATTTGATTGGAAAGGGGGCCCCAGGGGGGGTTTTCCCTTTTGGTTTTGGGGGGGAAGGGGGGAAAATTGCCTTGGCCCTTGGGGCCCAAAAATTTGGGGGGGCCGTAAAATACGGGGGGGGGGGTTCGGGGTGCTCCCCGGGAATTTGGGGATTACCCTCTTGGCCCCGGGTTTTTCTTGCCTTTTTTTTTGAAGGGGGTTGGGGGGCTGGTGGTGGTGCTTTGGGGGTTGCAGGTGTTGGTGGTGTTTTTGCAAAAATACCTTTTTAGGCCCCCTGGGTTTTTCGAATTTTTTGGGCCCGGGGTTTTGGCCCTTTTGCCCCTTTTTTTTCGATTGGAGAAGTAGGGGGTTGGTCCCCCTCCTGCCGGTAAAGGGGGGGGATTCCCTTCCCGGGTTTTTTTGGGGGCCCCCTTGCCTTGGTGACATTTTCCCGTAATCCTTTGAAAAACTTGCCAAAATTCAGATAATTTTCCCCCTTGCCCCCCCCCCCCCCCCTCGTTGTTTCCGTCGGAAGGTGTGTGAAACCCTCGGAGTCTCGGCGGATGCCATCGTGGCTGGTTTGGCCGCAGACAATATGGTAGGCGGTACGAGCAGCCGTGTTTTGGTATTCCATAGTTTTTCGACGCTATTGATACTTCTCCGTTTCATTGTCTGAGTCTCTTCAAGGCCCATCGTCGCCAACAGCAAGATGTATAGACCAGTAGTACATACAGTATCGCTGCTGAGTGAGGATTGCCGGCGTGAAAGGTATCGATGCGTGATTGGCACACCACGCAAAACGAATGGCTACTCAAATGGCCACGGTAAGGGAACATTTTCTTCGTAGAAACTTTGCACGAACTGTAATTCGAAGTAGAAGCTTTGCGAGAAGTGTGATGCCATGTTGTCTTTCTGGTCTCTGGGACATCGACAGGTGGTATCCCTGTACTTCATCTTCCTCTTCTGGATCACAAAACCGGACAGACAAGAAGAACCAACGCCAGCAACAACAACGAGGCAAGGTTCAACCAAAGCGATAGGCTCAGCACAAGAAGAAGAAGCCCCTGCAGCAACGCCGCAACAAGTATCAGCAGCAACGGCAGGAGCAGCAGCGTCGCCACCTCCGCTAGCGGTCACGAAGGAGACGATCTCTTACGCTCTGACCGCCGCCTGCGCCCTGTGCCTGTGCGGGGAGTTGCTCTCCAAGGTGGCGTTTGGCGGCAGGGTTAGTGCAATGTGAGCCGCTTGGATGGGGTGTGCGCTTGCAACGTATCATACCACACCAATTATTTCCTACCGCTGCTGGCATTTACTGCGAAAGGTTTCGGTTGGGCTCAGCTCTCTCTGCCGTGTTGGGGCGTGTGTATGACGCAGCGGAGCTTTTTTTTCGCGGAATTCGTACCGGTATTCGACCGGGTTCTATTTTGTTGGATAAGGCAGAGGGTGGGGGGGGAGAATGGGATGAGAGGATACCAGCTGAAGAGGCTGCACGTGCGAAGACATCACTCTTGTCAACCACCGAGGGTAGCCCCTCTGGAAGATGGCAACGCCATTCGGCTTGTTTACAACGATTGCAGCTTTTCTGAGTTCTCTGCGCATCTGGGAACTCTCCCTCACTCTGTGGCTTGTCTCCCTCCCTCCGTCGTGTTTTTTCTTGTCAGGAGCAACCAACGCACTCGTGCGACGAGAGTCGAGAACGATGTTTGCTGCCCAGTGTGTGTGTGTGTGACCACCCGTGCAGCTCGCGCGGTTGCTGTCTTGAGTTGATGCCGTGATGCGAGCCCGACCATAAACTTGAACTCCCGCCGCATTTCCAGGCGTTCGCTGCTCGCATGCTGTCTCTACTTTTTGACATATATCCCCTTCCACTCTTGCACATTTACACCCGTCTCGAACACCCACTTCCTTCATGTTGACACTTTTCCCTACAATAATGTGTCTGCCCTCGATTGCTTCGAGTATTTGCAGCCCCTTGGTAACGCTGGTGACGGTAGCTGGGGCCACGGCGGCCCCGTCGTGGGTGGGGAGGCTGGGTTCCGTTGGCGCACAGGTGATGCTGTCGGATTCGACGCTGTTGGGTGCGTTTTGTGTACGGCAGAATCACGTGGTTTGCTAGTTTTGAACCGTCTTCTGTCCTGTATCTATGTTAGCGCGGTATTCTTCACAAGTTGTAATTCTTGTACCAGTTTTTTTGTGTTGGTACCGCCTTTTGTCTGTACCTTGTGTTTCCGTCGTCCGATTTTGGAAGCGTGGTTGTCGACTGTTTCTACCGGCCTTGGGACCTTGCTTCTCTGACTAAAGAGCTCGAATCCTGGACCACAACGAAACCTTCTCTGTCGGATTGTCGCGCTGCCGATGTTTCAATTGCCTTTCACTGTCTGGCTTTCACATGACGGCAGTTTCCTGCTGCCTCCCCCCTCACCCCCGCCGACTTCCTCCATTCGTTTCCACCCTGCTCTCTTCATCCTTCGTCAAGTATACCTAGTTGAATACCAGTACATTTGTTTTGTACTGCAGATGTGATAATACTTGATAACATGTCTCTGCCTTCCTTCGGTGCTGCATGTATTTGCCTCTTCGGGTGCGGTGCCCCCGTGGCCGCTGAAACACGACGCCGACAGCTGGGGATCCTGCTGATGCAGCTCTTTTTCGCGGTGACGGGGGCGCAGGGCAGCCTCGCCGTCGTCATGGGGACGGCGCCGTCACTGTTGGTCTTCTCTCTCGTGCAGGTGGGTAAATTTGCCTTTGCCGCGTGCTCACTTGCGTGCAGTGTTTGGTCTGGCTTTCTGGGGTAGATGCACACATCGTGAGTGGGATGCTGTTCTTCGTTGGACGTATATACATGTTGTTTGTTCGAATCGCCGGGACCCTTCCTTGAGGGTTCTCCTGGAAGGGGGGGGGGAATGGAAACTTTGTTTGCTCGATTCACGGGGACCCTAGTGCTGCGTGTGAGCTTTCGTGGCACAGTGATTCTGCCGCTGACCCCGCGTCCCTACACATCAGCCAGGGCTAGTGCACCGGCCAGGCTGAAACGGCATCGACCGAACATCGCAGTTAGGTGTGAGGCGAGCAGCGTGCTGGAGTGAGCTGCATCCTGCAAGGGAACACTTTTCACTGCGTCGAATTTTGCGTGATCGAGGACATCGTGCACGAGTCGTCAATCGAGATTCTTCTCCACCCTAATAGAGTTACTCGAGCTATCCCGCGAATAGATAGGATAGACCACGTCCGCCTTTGAGGTCAGCCTTGTGGATTCACTCTGGGTGAAATTCAAAGGGGATCTCCCTGCAACCGCCCCGTGTGGCGTGAGTGCTGTTTTTTCTTTCATTCTTGTATGCAGAATGAGTGGAGTGTTTTTTTCACTAATAGTGATGTTGTTTCGATTGCATTGGTGGCAACGAGTCAGGCAACCGTTTTCGATCGCAGTTCTCTTCCGTCCCTTGCTTGCCTTTGGACATCGTTTGGCTTGCACAACTTCACTCCGACCTCCTCCTCACCGCATCGTAGCACAACATGTTCACACACGCGCCGCGCAAGATGGCGCAATTTCTGACCCTGCCGGCTCCCCATAGAAAGTTGCCGGCCGGGTCCGACGTGCACCTCTTCGTTGAGCTTCATATGGAGGCACCGTCACTCCCCCGTGAGGCGTACTACTTCGAAGTACATACGAGACGTTATTATCAGGCAACATGCCATGCTGCCTGCCGTGTGGGAACCTCGGGGGATTTGTTTTTTTCGTTTTTGCGTCCCGTCCCATTCACTCACCAATCACGTCTACGGAGCCCCTGCATAGAACAACTCCGCGACCGGCTCGTGAACCGACCAATCAGATTGCGGTCCACTTCGGCGTGCTCGTCGGCGTGGGGAGGCTCTTCCGACTGCCCTTCCGAGAGCTGGCCCTGGCGTCTAACGCGAACGTCGGAGGGCCAACCACCGCCGCGGCCATGGCTGCTGCTAAGGGCTGGAAAAACCTGGCGAGTTTTTGCTTTTTCTTTTCGCTATATGTATGAAGGAGTTCACTCGAGAATGTGTGCCTTTTGGGAAGGATGAGCACGGGGTTGGGCGATTCGCGCCCCGTGTTGGTTGGTGCTGATTGGATGCCTCATTTGAAGAACCGAAACGTGTCGGGTTTCACAAGGGGGGGTGATAGTTGGGATGCACCTCCGACACTACTCTCCCATAAATGGGAAAGAAACCGCTGCGGCACGCGCCTCAACCGGTGTTTTCGATTTGGCCGTCGGGGGCCCTTGGCATTCAGTTTGGATCCGAGGCAACTTTATTTGCTGCAAGGAGCTGAACCAGGCAGATAGTACGGCTGCTACCGCGACACTATTGCTTGTGTTGTTTTGTTGTCGTGCCCGAAGGTTCTGGCTCATTCCAAGCGAACAGGCGTCATCCCGCCCAAAGTGACCTCGCGCGGTCCAGTTTCAGCAACCAGTTGGTTGCTGACTATTAAATTTGAATGCTCGCCTCCTTTTTTTTTTCTTGGTATGCTGTGTGGTTTCTTGCTTGCAACTCACATGTTCTCGCGAAAGTTTCTGGTGACAATTTGCTGCCATTTCGTGTGTTCTTTTTTCGTGTCCCCTCGGCTGTTTTTTGTTTTGTCATGTTGAGCAGGTCCTTCCTGCGCTGTTGACTGGCGTACTCGGCTATGCTACAGCGACCTTCATTGGCGTGGGAATCGGGCACGCATTTCTCAAGGCCCTCGTTGCAGGCGCAGGAGTCTGATCAATGGTTGGCAGGCGTCCTTTTCTGTGTGTGTGTGTGTTTGTTTTTTTTTATTCCGAGACGGTTTCGTTCAGCCTACTTTCCAGCGCGGAAAACGGAAACATGTATGCATATATATACATACCATCACGAGTGAAATTTCGACAAGGGTACGTGCGTGAGTGAGTATTAACATGTGCTGGTGCGGCTGGCGTGCGCGTAGTTGGTGTTGTGCTACAACAGTTGCTCGCGGCCACGTAGAAACTCAAGAGCTTCATCCAATCAGATGATTACTTAGTCGTTCCGGCCGGGAATCAACCCGCCGAGGTTTAATCTGTTGCTCTGCAGTGCAGTTCTGGCCTCCTTTTTTTGGGTGTCGTCGTTGTTGTTGCTACTTTTCGTCGTCTCATAGCCGACAGCGATTTTTTCAAGCGTCGCGAGGAGCGCCATTGGCAAGTACCGCGCCTCACCTGCAGCAAGCTCGAGGTATACATAGCAACAAACACTGCGTCCCCCAAACTGATTTTTTTCTTAAACTAGAACCAAAACAAACACGCCCACCAACGTCTGTACATGACGTGTTCCATGTTCGCACATGCAGCGAAGATCGAGAGAGAATGCGTGCCCTCGGTGTAGGGCAAAATGTTGTCTGTCTTCGGGACTGCGTTGTTTTCTCGTGTGCTCCGAAGTTGCGATCTGCCGCTCCGTCCCTTCCATTCTGCAAGCATCCTTGAACTTCTCAAGTCAAGGAGTTTCATGGCGAATTGAGAAGTTCCATGGCGAAGGCATTCTGCAGCATCCACTAAGTAGCGCACACTTCAATCGTATTTTTGCTCGGGGAAACAAGTTGCGGGTTCTTGGTCTAAAACGCTAGGACGCAGCCGCTCAATGCTGCCGCCTCTCGTGCAGCCAGTGCTTCACAGGTGCCGCGGGGCATGATAGCGCTTGATATTCACCATCAAGAGGCTACCGCGACCATTCCAAGGACGGTTCCGTCTCAAAAGTAGGAACCCGCGGTATGGTTACTACCACAATGGCAGCGCTCGGTTGCGTTTGCAAGCACCGCACGGGCTCCTCGCAGTGACTGCACAGGAGGCAACAGTACCGATGGGAGAGTGTGTCGTTTCGGACCCTTGTATATTTCTTTTCGCACTTGCATATGTAGCAGCTTCTTTCTTGCCCCAAGCCGCACAGCCACAGAAAGAGAGACACACGCCACCAGAGGCGGGGAATGAACTCCGAAGTCCAACAGGCACACAACAAAGCCTCATAGAACCAACTCAAGTCAAAGTCTTTCGAGCCAGGCGAATTTCACTATAATAACCTTACCCCCACCCGCTAAATATATAGAGCCTCAGCCACAGGGACCCTGACAATGTTAAGGCTGAGAAGGAACCCATAAATACTATTTTTATCGCGAAGCGGGTCTTTCCGCGGAATGGACGCAGGCACGAACATCTATATGGTACCAACTGCATAATTCGATACAGCAGGGGTCCCGATACATCGCGGTGTAGTGAAAGACAAAAATCACCGCGTTTTATATCGGGACCTGTGCAACTGGGACAAGGACTCTGAACAAACGATTTAGGTAGCAGCCTAGGTTGTTATGCCAAGGAATTATTTCCACGACATATATCGGGAACCGCGCTGCTCGGACAGCGATATGTCGGGGACAACTACTATTCCAGCTTCTGGAACATACGGGGCTGAGCTCTGTTGTGTTGTTGAGAGCTAATTAGAGGACGCTGTTGGTGTGCTGGCCGAGCCAAAGCAACCCGGTTAGCGGTTAGTCCTCAGTCGGTTCGCTCGTGATGAGGCGGTGATAGTCCCGCCGATCGCGTCGCCTGGCAAAGACGGGCGAATGACCAGGACATGACAAAAAATGCGGAGCGGAAAGAAGAGGGAGCGACAGGTGTAGGGGTTTGTGTTTAGTGGGGAATAGGGTTTGGATGGCCAAGCAGAATGACGAGGGATGAGGGGTGCCCGGACAAAGAAGTGACAGTGTAAGCCAAGGGCAAGCAAGAGCATGGCAATGGGAGCAACTACAACGAGGCCATGAGCAAGCACATGACGAAAGAGGGCGGAATGACTTACATCGACCAAAACTGCCGTCAGCATTCCCAAGAATTGCTTCTTCCCTGCTGTCAGCTCACCTTCCCCCAAAACGCCTCGGACGAGAGAGGCCGGAATAACTACCATATACAACGATCACACTGCGTCAGGATTCCCCAAACATTCCCGTCCCCTTCACCTTCCTCAGCACGCCTCAACAAGCTGCAACGAGACCATGAGCACCAACGAGAGGTCGGGATCACTACAGTACGATCAAAACTACGCCACAATTCCCCAAGAACTGTTTCTTCCCTTTGTCAGCTCACCTTCCCAAGACACGCCTCTATGAGTCGACCCGTGTGGAACTCCCACCCCTGGTGGTGCTCGTGTCCTCGAAGGCCGACACCGGTCCCGCCGTAGTATGCGCTGCATATTTTCGACATTCATAATTCCGTCGGGCACATGTTTCCATCGTTCGGAATGCCGGAGGTTACATATTTTCATAAATCAGAATTCCGGATGGTATCAGGCGAGCCATCGTTCCTCCTCCTTCATCCCCCCGTAGCATACAGATAATATCTTCCTAATACTTGTATTTTATCGCGCGTCAGGAGTTGGTGTCCGTCGATATCACACCAGGAATATTCTCTCGCAGGATTGATCGACCAGAGCTCGATATTTCCTGAATCTCGCATAAGTTATCGCCCAGAGCTCGATATTTCTGGTTCGTCGTGCACGATTTTCGAACGCCATTCGTCCGAGCAACGCTGAGAAGAAAGAGCGCACGACTGCTGTTTCACCTCGAGGCCCGCAGATTGCGCAAGATACCACACCCCCTGGACCGATTGTCAAAGGTCGATGCCTACTGCAGCAGCAACGGCAACGGTGCCGACCATAGTCGCGTTGGAACCTTCTCGCCGAGAGCTTCCCGAAAACCTACCTTTCGAATGTAGCATCCTCTTCGCCATGGACCAGTCGAGTTTTCAATTGTTGTCCGGGGGGTGTGGTGCCTAGTGGAACCTACTCTGAATGGACTGTCTGGAACAGCAGCGAGACTCACCGGAGAAAGTGACCAGCCATCTCAGTTATGCCGAAAAACATCCCAAACACCCATACCAGGATCGTCATGATCCCGGTCGATTTGCACGTCATGGTTTCATTGTCCAGGTTCTGACGAAGAGAGCGACGTAGCGATAAATTGTAGCGGGGGGAGGTGTAAGAAAAAAATGTCGAATGCTGGTACCAGCGTCAGTAACAGCACCCACAGCAACAACTAAAACAACAACAATGACAACACAGGCAGCAATGATGTCAATAGGGCGGTCACATCTAACCCATATTCGCGCAACAGCGAGGGGTACGACGAAAGACAACGTGCCGTGAGATAATAGTAGGAGCAGGAAGGGTCTTCGCACGCGTTGTAGGACTCCTGGAACCTTTGCATTCCCACGCACACCGCGGCGGCGTTGCAGCTCTGTTTCATCCGGTAGGAGAAGCGAGAGGTTCAAGTAGGACGGGGGGGTGGGAGGGAGGGAGGGAGGGAGGGAGCGCGGAGTGACGCTTGGTTAGTACTGACGACATCAACAATAACGGCACCAGTAACACCACCAGAAAACAACCGTAGCAGATAGATCACCGCACCACCACAGTGACAGCGACAACAATATGTCAACACCACCACCAGAGCTAATGCCATTCGGGGACTACCTCACTACCGAAACCAGACCACCAGACACTAGGGTTTCGAGGCAAATGCCAATGAATGCTGAAAATGCCCCGTGGCTGCCACCGGCACACACCCCCAAGCCCCAATAACTCTGCCTGCAATCGGGGGGGGTAGAGGAAGGGGTAGGTTCTCACCGTGTTGTTGCCGGCGTTTCCCAGGGCGGAATCTCCGACATCTCCCTTTTGTGCAAGGCCGACGCGACCGATCTCGGTGTCCACGACGGCGTAAAGCGACCTCAGCGGGAGGGTGCCTAGGGACACCACTGGCTGCATGGAGGGCAGCTCGAAGACCCACCCGGACTGCCGTAAAAGGATTTTCATGGAAGGATTGTTGATGGGAAACTGTTGCTTAAACCGGGGCGGGCATTGGAGTGTCTAGTGGGCGGTTGTCCACGCTGTTTCAGACGCTGAGGAAACGGACCCCGAACATCAATACCAAAACTAAAGGACAACATATGACGATACGAAGAAGTCACGAACAAAAGCGCGACACCAAATCGGTATCAATCGGTGCGTGCGGACAAGCAGGAGAACAACCGTGGGCGACAAAATAAAAAGCTATGGACAACGACGCCCGATAGATGCATGCCTTGCGCTCAGCGATGCCACTGGGAGCTACGGTGAAAATCGCGACCGGAGAGCTTCACTATGGCGCGGGCTAGCCTGTCTCGTTTCTCCTTCCTGTTGCTGTTGGTGCCGCTGCCGCTCGACAGCAACTCTTGCTCGCTCCTTCTTCCGGACAAAGTTGTATGTTCTTTGTGCTTTACTTTCGTGTTTTAATGGTCACCTCGGTTCCCTGGGATTTCCTACCGTATGACCTCGTGGTGACGTCTCAGCCACGGTTACAGAACGACACGGCACTCTTGCACGGTACGCTACGGCGTAAGAATGCGGAATTACGGCAAATCTCGAGTGAAACCGTGGACCCCTCGAAACCGCGACGTTCAAACGATTCGGTGTAGTACGATACGGCAACCGGCATGCAATTGTACGTTTCACACGGCGCGAGACCTGGCGAATGGTGGCCTCTCGAGTGACGCAGAGTCGTCTGTCAACGCCATCGTTGGTGCTGGTGCTGGTGCTGTTGGAAGGTTGGTCTCCATCTTCGTCGAGCAGCAGCGCTGACAGAGGGAGGTACAGTTCCTGCCCGTGCTGGCTTAACCTACCGGCACACGAGAGCCATAAGCAAGCAATTCGGGGGGGAATGTAACAAAAACAAAGTCGATGGCTCCTGTGCCTTCCGGCTGTTGGTTGCGAGACCGAAACCAACAAAGTGAGACATTCTTCACTATAAGTGTGTTGTCCCTTGTGTCGGGTGCTGCTCATTGCGCTTCTACCTAAAGACAAACAAATACAAAGGACCAAAATGTTGCACAAGCATCTTTGCCTTCGAAACTGCACAAGGACACCAGCGTTGCACTCCGAGTGTGAATCAAATCCAACAATAGTCTGAGTCAACCCCAGCAAAAAGGTCCTAGCAGTGTAGGGTGAGGGTTAGCCACAGTGAAACGTTTTACAGACCCGGGTAGCATGAAATCCAAGGTAGTGAAGTGGCACTCGAAACCGACGCGACTGCTTGTCTCTCTTTTCGAGGTGCCGATCAGGCGTGCGTGCCCGGAAGAAACATGGGGCATTCTCCGCTGTCGATCAAAATAAGCACCCGATACCCAGGCCAAAACAAAAAGAAAACGCATGATGCCGCTACCGCTGTGAACCGAGGACGAAAAAAAAAGCCAACGTATCAGACAACACCAGTCCGATGAGATGGTCTTGACGCAATCTTGGCAACAAACTAGACGCCATGAGCATGCGTTCCACCAAGTGTGCCATGGCGTCATGACCATCACCTAGTCAACAACCAACCCACACGCACTCAAACCAACGCTCTCTCTCCGCTTCGAATTGGTATTCTCCTATCAGTCGATATTAATCTATTGATATTAATCTAATTGATATAAATCTATCGATATTAATCTATTGATATTAATCTAATTGATGTTAATTTATTCCTGCGAGTCGTGTCGAGCAATCGCTCCATGACCATCGTCCGGAAATCTAGCCATCTACTGTAGGAAAATGGGGCGACGTTTGCCCAGGACTTTTGGTGTACGCCCTACCAGCGAAAAACTAGCAACGACGGCAGCAGCGACAACGGCGACAACGACAACGATAGCAACAACAACAACAACAACAACATACCACGGAACGGATCGAAAAAACGGCCACCAACGGTCGGAACACATCTTCCCCTGTTACGCCGTCTACATGCAGAGAGAGAGACAATCATACAGACCCCTGTTGTGCCGTCTTACATGCAGAGAGAAAGACAATCATACGGAGAGAGAAACAACACGAGGCCAACACAGTAGACAGGAATATAGCACAGCAAGGCAGCCTAGCCTAAGTAGCGTGAAACCAGGAGGCACCTGAATGACAGAGAGGGGAGCTCCATGGCGGCATTCTCCGCGGAAATAGAGCATATGCCGCCGTTTTCCGGATCGGGACAATCTCCTTCCACCGGCAGCCACGACATCAGGCTATCGAAAAACTGTACAGGCGGAGGCGTCGGGGGGACAGGGGACGGTGTCACGGAGTGGGACGGGGGAACGGCGCGATTTCGACACAAGTTTTGACAAGCGCAAACCAACCATCCCGTTTCGTAGTGCCGGCTACACACAGTGCATTGTGGGCGTCGTCTACAACATTGCAGCTTGAATGTACCACCGCTGCGGAAATTTCGCCATAAAAAAGTCCAGCGAGTTGGCAATGCGACAGCATTTGGGGGGCGGGGGGGGGGGGGGGGGGGGGGGTTTG